GAGAGATAGAGAGACAAAGAAAAGGGCAAGGGCTTACGCATGGCTTGGCTTGAAAGAGGGAGATGGATCTCTCTCTCGCTGACGTCTAGTGGTGTATCTGTGTATCAATACTGTAAATTGATACTGTACTGTACTGTATCTGTAAGAGTGTCTGTTGTAGTAATCCAAACACGAGGAGGGAACGCGAAAATGTAGATTCCTCGGTAACCAATGAAGCTTTCCAAGGCAAGAGCAGACAGGGAGGACCTAGTAGAGATGGATGGATGATGCTTCTTGTTTGGTATTAATTGTTGAGGATTACATTCCTACTCGGTATCATACAAAAAGTGTCAAGGGATCTTCTCTCCCATCCCATCTCCTTTCTGGTTACACTACTTTATCCCCATCGTTCTACAGTACAAACAGTGCTTTCGTTGTTACTGCATCGTCGTGTCGTCACCAGAAACGGAATAGCTGTGGCTGTGCTGTGCTGTGGCTGTGGCTGTGGCTGTGCTGTGACGCCACAAAAACTCCTGTCGCCTTCGCTCAGCCTGCCATTTTCCACTTATTTGCTCGCTCACTCACTCACTCATCGATGCAATCAATGCGCTGTGTAATATGCTACTTACCTAACAGCCTCAAGTACATGCCTATACTACCAAGGTATACAACTCTCTTGCTTGGTCGGAATTTATAGAAAGGTTCTACAGCAGAACAGTACTCCGTAAAAGTCTTTTCAATTCTAGGTCTACAAATCACGTGTGTACAATCCAAGTAAGGTTGTGTTGTGGACTGGAGCATGGATTTTGGGCCTACTTGATACTCCTCTACAACTACTACTGATACTAGGAGATGAGAGCAGAGTTTATGTATTTGTGCCAATAATCGAACAAGTACGTCTCGGCCTCCACGGCAGTGGCCCCCGGAGGGCTAGCGGAGCGTCACCAAGTCCTATTAACCACCTAAACACAATCCTATAACCCATTCGGTTTAATTAATTCATCTACTAATACCTAGAATACAATCTATTATATAAGTCCGTAATTAGGTGGGTGACGCTCCGCTGGCCTCCGGGGGCCACTGCCGTGGAGGCCGGGAGGGAGGACTGGGTAATATCTATAAGTATAGAGGGCAATATCCGATATGGATAGCCTTTTACCAGAATGGCTATGATACGTACTATACTTGAATAACAAGAAGTAAGTCACTCTCCAAAGCATGTATGAAATCTATATGTCCGGAACCGGAGAGCGTCGCCACGTGATCAGGTCTAGAATTGAAATTTTCTAAACAATAGCCTATCCAAGATCAAGAACAAGAACAAAGGACACGAAAGATACCCTCGAACCCCTCTGACTTTTTTGAACAATAGTCCTAGTCTGCACCTACTTCAACCACTGCCTAATACATCCAAGATGGCTAGCAGGGATGAATTCATTCTCACCCTGTCATGTCCGGATCGAGCCGGTATCGTGCACGCTGTCACTGGGTTCCTGGCTCAATACAACTTAAACATCGTAGACTCCCAACAATTCGGTGATCCAACGTCCAAGAAGTTTTTCATGCGGGTGCATTTTGCACCCGTCGATGTCGAGAACAAGATAAATCTCGATGACTTACGGACCTCCTTTGAGGAAACGGCCCAGCAGATGTCCATGGACTTCGAGCTTTCCTCAACGGCACGGAAACCACGAGTCCTTATCATGGTCTCCAAAATCGGACACTGCTTGAACGATCTGTTGTTCAGGCAATCCACTTCTCAACTCAAAATCGACGTTCCTCTCATCATCTCCAACCATCCCGATTTTGCGCCTCTGGCAGCCACGTACAAAATCCCCTTCCACCACATGCCAGTCACTGCCGAGACGAAAGCGGATCAAGAAAACAAGATCCTCGAGTTGGTCAAGGAACAGAAGATTGACTTGATTGTGTTGGCTCGGTACATGCAAGTTCTCTCGCCCGCTCTCTGCTCCGCCATGTCCGGGAAGATCATCAACATCCATCACAGCTTCCTGCCTTCCTTCAAAGGAGCGAAGCCTTACCATCAAGCATACGATCGTGGTGTGAAAATCATTGGAGCAACCGCCCATTTCGTTACAAGTGATCTGGACGAGGGTCCGATTATCGAGCAAAATGTCGTCCGCGTGGATCACGCGTTGAGCCCCAAGGAGCTGACGACTGAAGGGAGCAATGTTGAGAGTAACGTGCTGGCGACAGCAGTAAAATGGGTTACTGAAAGGCGAGTTTTGATTAATGGCGCGAAAACAATTGTTTTTAATTAGGCAACTGCCCTAAAGCCTATTTTACTGTTCGCGATATGAGTGTATGGCTTTTACAACTATCATGGATCAGATTGGAGAACTAGTTGGAAAAATCACCCGTCTAAACTATCGACGGGAGCTCAGTGGTATTTCTTCTGGTTGCAACCTTTCAAGAAATCAAAATCATTCTCCAGTTCTCCCCATTTATCTCTTCGTCTATTTAACAGTCTGGTATTTCCCCTCAAGTCAAGGTGTTCTTGTATTATATTCCCTTGGCACAGTATAATGATTCGAGTAACAAATTTCGGGGTTTGAGATCACAGTTTAGTGATTATGTAGCCTTTGACAAGAGGTTGAATTTCCGTCGAAAGAAGTCGAGTCGTTTCCGACAAGCGATCCATACAAGTTGGCAGTTTTCGCATGGTTCTGAAATTACCCGTTTTAGGCTAGAATACACCACGAGTGACGAGGTGTCCTTGCGAACACTTCTCAGTCCATGAAAAAAATATCCAGGCCATTTGATGGATTAATAGCATCACCGGCAGCTGCGTTCTTCGGGGCACTTGAAGCAAACGAAAACTACCAGTCTAGCAACTCTTGACTGGTCTAATTAGGCATAGCATACCACATCTACTCTGATTCCATATGGCTGTTCACAGATGGAGCTCTCAGCTAAAGACCCTATGCTGTCTTGCTGTGATGTGCTCCATATATTACTTGTCGTCGAGGTTATCCTTTCAGTGGCAGAGAATCGATGTGGGGGAATCTGATCACATAAACCGCGAACCACTTCACGACATTGGAAACGTTACTCTAGGAGTGAGTAAAAATATAATATCGTCCAAATCCTGCTTCAAATTCGTCTCAATTACCTCTAACATTCCAAGAACATCCTCGATGATATTTTGTATTTACTAAACCCTCCTAGTTCCAGAAGATCTTCGTCATCAACATGCCTTCTCGAACCGACAGGCGTGACGCCACCTCCCTCGCAGCAGCTAGTAGTAATCTAAAACTAGAATTCATCCAAGGTGTACGAGGTGACAGTATCCCCGAAGCTGCATTTCCGCCAGGAGGAAGTGCGGATAGCATCAAGCAGTCCGCAGGGATCAAAGGAAGTTGGAGATCCCACATGAACGCTTTACACACGTAGGTCTATCATATCATTATGCCGACTGCATATATACATCTAACCAGACATCAGAATCGTCCACGAAAATCTCACCACTGCCCTGATCTTCGAAGACGATGTTGATTGGGACATCAGGCTTCGCCAACAATTAGAACCGTTTGCGCGCGCTTCACGCTTGCTGACCGAAGGCTTCGACCTGTCCATGCATTCCCCCACCACACTCCCCAACACCGAGCCATCCGATATAGGCCTACGATTCGAATCCTCCTCGACGACGCCACTATCCCCCATCATCCACTCCCTGCCCCTGCCCCCACCCTCATTCTCCCCCAGCACTACTCGTAGCCACTCCTCCTCTCCCTATGGCGACCCTTCCTCCTGGGACGTCTTATGGCTCGGCCACTGCGGCGTTGAATTCCCCCGCCCGCCCTACTCCCAATCCACCACCCCGTCACTCCAGAATATCGTCCTCACCTCGCACGACCCCACAGTCCCAGCACCGCACCACTTGCGTGCCCACCCCTTCGGGCCCCTTGATGCCCTAGCTACCTCCCACCCCCCACACACGCGCGTCTACCACCGAGCCTCCGGCGGCGCCGTCTGCACTATTGCCTATGCGGTCAGCCAACGCGGCGCGCGGCGGCTGCTGCACGAGTTCGGGGTCAGGAAATGGAGTCGTATCTGGGACGTCGAGTTGGGTGACTGGTGTGCGGGGTCCGGGCAGGAGCGTGATGATCAGCGGACCTGTATCACGGTGCAGCCGCCTATATTCGCACACCACCATCCGCTGGGTGGAGCGAGTGATATCGGGGGTCTCGGTGGTGGGTTCGCGACCAACGTCGAGACGAAATATATACGCAAGAGTGTGCGGATGAACCTGGGGGCTTTGATGAGCTCCGGGGGGGATGCACGTGGGGAAGAGGCGCTCGAAGGCGTGGATCAATGGCCTGATTAGATGGCGCGTGTATTATGAGCAGAAAATGGTATACTATACGTAGTTGAATTGATAAAGATATTGTTTATCCTGAGACAGATTTCATGTTGGAATTATATAGGTTACACAAGAAACCCTTCCTCGTCCTCGAGCCTGTCCCTACAGCAACGCGTTCTATGACTACAAGGTAGCGACAGCGACCTTAATCAGCTCCAGCTGGCGACTCGGGTATCAACCTCTCTGAGGGGAAGTCAAAAATACATCACGTGTCGCGCCATTAAAAGGGACAAAGACATTGGACGGACTTGATTGGAAATATTCTATCCAGCTACGGAATCAACTGGAAGATTAGAGAACAAGCCTGTCTGAGACTAGGATCGATCGTCGTCCTCAAAGTGTTCCCCCCAAGAGGTGCGGAAATGATATGTAGCGCCTACGTTCGTGATCTCGTCCAGATCCTCCTGGCCCAACTTGATTTTCAAAGCTTGAGCATACTCATCAAGTCTTTCCGGCTTGGTAGTAGTGGTGACAGCAACAACGTTGTTTTGCATCAACCACGAAAGGAGTACAACAGCCTCGGTGGTGTTGTGAGCCTTAGCCATACGACTCAATGGCTCTTTCAGCGGTCCATTGGGACATCGGAAGGCGGGTGTGAGGCCTTTGAATGATGCAACTTGAATGCCATGCTCACGCATCCAGGGTATATAGTTGTTCGAACGCTGGAGATACGCATGGTACTCAATTTGATTGATGACTGGTGGGTCCGTTGCTCCTTTGAGAGTCGCTTCGAGGTTCGAGCGTGTATAATTGCTCACACCGATCGACTTTGCTTTGCCAGCCTTTTTCAACTCTTCCATCGCCTTCCACGCGCGCTGGAAGTCCTCATCAGACTTCGCAAAGAAGGGGATGTGAATCAAGTACCTCGATGTGGCATTAGTCAGCTGGCCAAGCCCTGACATTCGGAACTGGTGACTTGCAAGTCAAAGTAGTCTAGCTGCATCTTCTTCAGACTCTGATCAATAGCCGCAGGGATTTCGTCGATTCCTTGGGCAACTTTGTTGGTGATGAAGAGTGTTTGACGGGCGACGCCATCATCTTTGATGGCAACGCCAACCTCATCTTCCGTGCCATACATTTCTGCACAGTCTAGATGATAATAGCCCTTTTGGATGGCTGTTTTTGTCAACTCGACAAGCTTAGGATCAAAGTCCGTGTTGCCGACGTCCTTGAACCAAGCTGTTCCCGTACCATAAGCAAGCTATGCAAAGGGCTTGAATCTAAGTCCCATGCATCTGCAGTGGCACAAGCAACGAACGATTTGTTGGTTGACAGCCATTAGCTCAGTCCTGCAATTCATAGGCTCAATAGGTGACATTGCAGCAAGCGGTAAATTAAGACGTCTATCAAACGGGACGACTCTTGTTGTTTCGGGGCGCCCGCTTAAGCAACGTAGGTTTCCGTCACGACCAACAGACCAAAGACCGTGCGGAATAAGCATGAAGAATCATCACTTCATGTTGTGCGAGGCCCTCCACCATTGATTGCTGGGGAAGTTTGAGCCGAACTGGATAAATAAGCAATGCTCCACATTCAACAAACCAATAACCACGTCGATGCTTATCACAGTGAAGTGGGAACGCACTCCGTCTTTGCTGTTCGCAAACGATCAACGAGAGCTTGAACACATCATTATAGTCATTGCATCGTGCTACTTGTTTTCAAATGGTGTTATAAGGCAGCCATCAAGACGCAGAAACAATTGGTATAGGCTATATTGATTGCATAACATTAGGCAACTTATATTTACGATGTTTTCGAAAGAGACCTTCAATGTGGCTGTGACCGGGAATCCTGTAAGTCGCGCTCATCAAACCCTCAAAGATCAAGAATTGAAATGCATAGCCTTTCATGGAGTATGACTTCAATACGTCCCAGCTTGTGAGAGATTCTTTGCCGGAAGTGATCAAACGACCGAACAAGAAAGATATCCGAGTGCTGAAGTATGCTCGTGACACCCGAGATACGTATGAGGATGTAAGACGTGTGTCGAATGATATCTGGGGTGGGCAACGATCCTTGTTCTTGCCGACTCCTCATCCCCATGACAAAGAGGATCGTATCAATATTGATCTCATCCTTCACCTAGGCATGGTGGCACTGGGCTGGAGGACGGACCAGTTTCGCTTCGAAACAGTGGCTCGCAGAGACGGCTACGAATTACCAGGAGATGATGGCCAGTACGTTGACTCGGATCACCTCCAGAAGCTTGGGCTGCCAAAGATCCTGGCAGCCTCAGTTGATGTTGAGGCTGCATGGCGAAAAGTGCAGGAAAAGTTCCCGGTGAGTATCCGATGCTGACTCCATTAGAAGCACGGCAACATGTTTATAGCTCACAGGACACGCCCTCGTGCGTCTCCGATGATGCAGGCCTCTATTTCTGCGAGTTCCGCATGTATTCATCTTTAGCAGAGCCGCTTCTACACGATTCTTTTCAAGGGAAGAGAGGTCGAGCGGTTTTTGAACACCTTCCTCAAGACTACAGCCCAAAAGGCATTGCATTGGCTCGAGATATTACTATCACTTATATTACAGCCCTTGTAGATGCTTGCCTAGCAGAAGAGGAAACATCAGACTTAGTATAGGAATTATGACGAGCAGTAGGCTGGCGATGTCATTTGGTGCGACAATGGGTACTGCTTTATTTTTAAATTGATTTACGGAGATTATACTACTATTAGGATTATATCCAGCATGATCTAATAGCTTTGCTAATTGCTAAATTAATAAATCTCTAAATTATTAATATAATTATCAAAGCTCTACCTCTATAAGATAGTTCTAAGCAACTATTTATTTTAGTTAATCTAAAAGTATTCAAAAATAATTCTGTTTACAGATAACTAGAATAACTATTTCGCTTTTAATTAGAGTATTTTTTAAGACACCGGCGCCTGTTTAAATTTCACAGTCCTTACTGTACCAATTCCCATATCTGCTCATCAGAAATGGAAACTCGCGATTCATCTGAATAAAAACACATAGCCGCTTCCTACAGAGTTACTAGGCACCGATCAAAATACTCCACAATATATTGAAATGTCCATTTAATGACTAATCCCCAAACCCTCGCCCTCCTTTACAAACCCATAATACCTCTTCTTCGTCACACACCTCCAACTCTTCCCCCACTTCACAACAGCCAGAAACGTGCAGACCTGCGCCAACCCCGCAAAAGCCGCCAGGATAAACGCATTCTGATACCCCATGTTCTTCACCCACGGCGTGACTCCATACCCGATTGCGAAACTCATAGTATTGCGAATGATAATCACCGTCACCATAGCCTCGCCACTGAGGTCCTTGTAGCAATCAATGCAATAGCTAACACTAAGCTGGATGCCTATGGAATTCGAAGCCGCAATGACGCCCATGGCGACAATGAGGCCGAACCAGTGCACGTGGTGGGCTGCGCCGACGCCCCAGAGGAGCAGCGAGCCGGGGATGAGCAGCAGCGATAAGGAGAACAGCCAGAGACGGAACTCGGGTTCCAGGACCCCCTGATTGCGGCGCGCGAGCGCGAGTACTATGCGATCGCCCAGCAGGCCCGAGTACAGGGACCCGACTGCGACCCCCAAGAGCGGGGATAGGTAGGAGAGGCCGACCATGGAGGGCGGGAAGGAGTAAGGGGGCGCGGAGAGGATGAGAGATGCGGTGCCGTTGAGGACGTTGAACCAGACAAGGTTGCTGCCGTAGGAGAAGCCGGCGTAGACGACGGAGGGGAGGGAGAAGAATAGGAGGGGCCGGAGCATGCTGCGGAAGAGGTGGAAGGGTCGCTTTTTGTCGAGGAGAGAGAGCTTTTGGATGTATGTTTTTGGCTTGTAGGCTATCACGCCTGGTGTTGGGTCATCGTTGCTTGGGGGGATGATGGCTGCTGATTTCTCTGGATCTGCTGATATTGAGAGTTCGCCTTTATTTGGTGTTGCTGTGGAGGGTATTTCATCTGGTGTGGCAACCATTTCCAACGGGGCTCGATCGTAATTTGTTTCCTCCATGAAGAAAAAACAGAAGACGAATCCAATGGCTAGGAAGATAGCACACCAATACATGACCCATTTCCAGCCTGTTTCAGAATTAGCAATAACTTCCGAGTCTCTGTAAAAGAAAGAATGCAAACCTTGTCCATCGTTAATAAAGCCTGCGAATACTGGAGCTAGGAAATTGCTCCCTGCTAACATGAAAGCATACAGTCCCATATAAGTCCCTCTTTCATGGGTGAAGTATATATCTGTGATTGAAATCTCGCACAGAGACTCGATTGGTGCCCCGACGAAACCTTGGAGAATCTTACTTCCTACGCGCAGTCAGTGAGTGTGAAACTGGATCCATTTTGAGGTTCGTACCAATCCATGCCCCGTTAGAAGTAGCATGAGGGACCCAAATCATAATCCCCTATTCTGTTAGAAATGTTCGACGACGCCTAAGATTCTACTTACTAAAGTCGCTAACATCGAGAAGAGGTAAACCGGTCTTTTTCCATACTGCAGAGCTATCGCTTGCCAGAAAAGACAGCCCCACCCCTAGATTATATTAGATTCAGGTATGATCGCTTGCAGTAGGCAGAAAAGTGGCATCAGTCTAGATGTATTAGGCAGAGGGGTATTGAAAGATAGTGATGAGTTGAGAATGAAAGTTGCTTTTATATAGGATTCAGGCATAGCACGTACAAAGAACAAGAACATATAACCAGTCCCAGCATTCAAGTCCGCAAGAGTGAGACCTGTATCTTCAGATATCGGCTCCAAAACACTATAGATAGCAGCGGACGCGATGCCCACCATCAAAGTATACATGCTGAGAGAAGTAATTGATAGCAACTTTCGCCTGGGAGACCAGTTCAAAGGATCATCTGGGTCGGCACTCGGAGCTGGCACAAGAACAACATCTTTGAGTTGCGTTCCAGACGCATGCTTGGCGCGTATCATTCCCTCGAGGTCGACGAGATGGAGGGTGCCAGGAATTGCGGCCTCATCGAGGTGTCCTTGACGGTGCACCGCATCTTCCATCTTGAGAGCTCTGCTGGTAGTGCGAGGGGAAATTTCAACTTGGAGAAAATGATATTGGTAGGCTTATAGTTTATATTGACAATTTCAAAATACAGAAGTTCGAGTTCCAGACCTGGTTTAATATCCAGACCAGCTATAGGAAATATCCCAGCCCAGATACCCCATTTTTGGTATCAGATTGCACTTGATAAGCTGATCGGCGGACTTTATCAGTGTGACATCTTGGACAACAACAACTTCAGTTGCCGCACCAGGGACAATTGCTGCAATCCTCTGGGCGACTTGAGAGTGGGATCTCACATGTATGTACATTGGAAACGATTAATAATAGCGTGTAGAATCAAACTGCCCTATCGAACAACTGTTTTCGGGCAAGCCTGGTACGGAGTAGACAGCAAGAGATAGATAATATGCACTGACGGGGATGGAGCTTGATACCCCCCCTGCTCTTCTTGCGATGCAGTATGACCTCTCCATTGACTTGTAGAAGGGTTCCGAGTGCTAGCTATATCATGGCGGGAGGTAGACGCTAGAGGCACCAGGAGAAGGGCTGCAATATGCAACAGTCCTCCCAGTACTTGATCCCTTGCCATGAAAAGGAGGACAGCATCTTTCTCTGACTACAGAGATGGGATGAGACAAAGAACTTTCGCGAAATCTAGCCGCGTTGACGACGAAGCATCAGCAAAGAACGATCCAAACAAATGGGAAAATCATCAAACACTGATATACACTCTCATTAAGCGGCATGGTATAGAAACACCAATTTGGGTATCTGTAGGGCTCTATGCTGCTGTGGGAGAAGTTATATAGTAGAGGAGATACGGTCTGAGGATTACTCGAGTAGGTATCTGGCTGCGGCAGAAAGGACCCAGATGTGTTACATAGTCTTTGACTCGTGCAGCACAATAATGGAATAACAACAATAATAGTAATGCAATAATGAAACACCAATGATTTTTACCTTAATGTATACATGTTGACGAATATCTGTTATGGATGGCGTGCCGGTGTCAAAAGTGGATTGTTACATACTACGTTGTTGCAGAGAATTGTTGCAGAAAGCGAAAAGCTTACTACGTATAAACACAACACTACCTAAGCTTTTTCACCCCCGCCAACTCCGTCCAACTCCCTTCCCTTTCCACATCCGCCAACCTCCCAATCGATGGACTGATTGCAGCCGCATCCAAGAATCTGCCAAATAATCAAATTCAAGGTAGCCATGTCTCTCACCTGCCGCGCGCCCTCGAGAGCGCTCCTTGCCAGTCAAGGCAGGTCAACAGTCCAAACTTCATGTCTCCGCATAGCCTCTGTACGGCAACGGCGCTGCGAGTCTACGGAGCAAAAGAAGCCGCCTCAAGATGGAAAATCATTCAGGGGGCAGCTGTACAACAGCACGGCGATGCGATTGCAGCGGGAGAAGGCGGACCGCGAGCGGTTTACACAGGCGCGGAATGAGAGTTCTGGGGGGAGGAATTCGGCTTTGAGCTTTGGTAAGAATCCCTCTTTTGATGGCAGATATGGCACAGCTAATTGTAAATAGTTGTTATTGCCACAGCTCTAGGAGCATACTATGCCGGGACCCTTTCGACGCCTGCTCCTTCGACAGCATCTACACTCCCCCTTGCCTCTACCGTACCCCCGAAATACAACATATCCGGCTCGAACATGGAAGCTGCGTGGGCGGACTTTGTGGAAATTGTAGGGAAAGAAAATGTTTCGACGCTCGAGACAGACATTACGCATCATGCTGGCAGCGAGTGGAGCACCCATATACACAAAGAATCCGAACGCTCATTTTTGGTCATTTACCCCTCGAGTACAGAGGAAGTCAGCGCTGTTATGAAGATTTGCCACAAGAGGTTGATCCCAGTGACGGGCTATAGCGGAGGCACGAGTTTAGAGGGCCAGTTTGCGCCTACGAGGGGTGGCATATGCATTGATTTTGGGAAGATGGGCAAGATCTTAAAGCTGCATAAGGAGGATATGGATGTGGTAGTACAACCTGCTGTGGGCTGGCAGGTGCTCAATGAAGAGTTGGAGAAAGACAACCTGTTCTTCCCTCCCGATCCAGGGCCAGGTGCTATGATTGGAGGTATGGTAGGCACGGGCTGCAGTGGGACAAATGCATACCGATATGGGACGATGAGAGAATGGGTTCTAAGCTTGACCGTTGTGTTGGCAGATGGGACAATTATCAAAACGAGACAGCGGCCGAGGAAAAGCAGCGCGGGGTATGATTTGACCAAGATGTTCATAGGGAGCGAGGGAACCCTGGGACTCGTCACAGAAGCTACGCTGAAACTCACGACGAAGCCAAATAGCACCAGCGTCGCGGTGTGTAGTTTTGGAACTGTGAAGCAAGCCGCTAATTGTGTCGCCAAAGTTGTGGGTGAGGGTGTCCCCATTGCAGCCATCGAGATTCTGGATGAAGTTCAAATGAAATGCATAAATGCAGCTGGAGAGACCGACAGATCTTGGAATGAAGCGCCAACTCTCTTCTTCAAATTTGCAGGCACACCAAGTGCTGTCAAGGAGCAAATTGGAATAGTGAAACAGCTTGCGAAGAGCACTGGTAGCAAGACGTTCGAGTTTGCGAAGAATGAGGCTGAGCAGACTGAATTGTGGAGTGCCCGGAAACTTGCATTGTGGTCGGTGATAGCAATGAAAGAGGACGAAACTGATCATGTGTGGACTGGGGATGTTGCGGTTCCGATCAGTAGATTACCGGACATCATCGAAGAGACAAAGGAAGATATAAACAAGAGTGGCCTGTTCACAGCAATTGTTGGTCACGTTGGAGATGGAAATTTCCACAGTATGTATTCTGTCTTCAAAGATTGGAGCTGTACTAACTTTCCAAGCAATTCTTCTCTACAAAGATAGCCAACGGAAGCAAGCCGAAGAAGTAGTACACCGAATGGTGAAGAGGGCAGTGAAGATGGAAGGAACAGTCACAGGAGAGCATGGAGTTGGGCTGGTGAAGAGAGATTACTTGAACCACGAGCTGGGAGAGACCACCGTAGATGCGATGAGAAAGGTATGTTCTGCGGCCTCTTCTTTCGATCCCATTCTAACTATATGCAGCTGAAATTGGCATTCGATCCACTGTGCTTATTAAACCCGGACAAGATCGTCCGGGTGCAGAAGCCAGAGCCAGGAGAGGTTGCTCAATGGTAGATTTTAAAGATGAGGTAATTGTTTGATAGATATGTGTATGATATACGGTGCCGTTGGACCGATGGACTGTGAGTAATAAACATACTTCATGCCATGTTAATATACAATTCAAGCCGAATTTCTTAGAAGCTGCCCATTCCGAATTTGCGACTCTCGCGCTATTCCATATTCTCAGCCCCTCCTTTTCCTTCCACTTATATCAATTATTGAAAATTCGTCTCTCTTCCCAAAGTCAAGCGTCTATTCTCCAACCTTGCTCTTACCCAATCTATGTCCAAGTCATCCTATCCATTCAACATCCATCTCAACCCTCATGATCTTTCTCAGCCACCACCGCTTGCTTCAATCATACATACATCCAGCCATCCTACCCCCAGCAATTCCCAGATCGCCGTCCCATCTCCATATCCAAAATCTCCAATCCACTCGCCGCACATAGACTCGCGCCCCATCCCTGCCACCCGCTTGTTACTCGTCGCGCATACGTCTCGCTGAGCCTGCATTTGATGAGTGTAGTGTGTCTTCCAACCAGGTGCGGCAGTCGCCGTTGCTCCGTTTCGGCTGCGGGATGCTGGAGGCGCACACTGGGCGCGGGTGGGAGTGTGGTTTGGGTTGTGGTGGCGGTGGTGGTAGGGATAGGGATAGGGATAGGGATGGGGATGGAATTCTTGGTGCGCATAGCCATGGGGATGCGGATGCGGATGCGGATGCGGATGAACGCCACAGGTTGCAGCTAGAGATCAAGTTCCCTATGTTGTTCTTTTGGTAGAAATTCGTCTTCGATTTTGGGGTTATTCGTTTCTGCCTCCGTTTGATATTTTATTCTGTTCACACTCAAAGAGTTTCGATGTGCAATTTTGGACCTGACTGTGCGGCCATTTCATGACTAGGCTGGACCCCTATTTCCCTTTCCATTTTAGGGCTGGGGAACTTGGAATTGTAAGTGTTTGTTTCTTCATCAAGCTTTTCTTTGGGTGTGATGTTTATGGTTTGGCATTGCATTGCTATGAGATGTTTGTGAGGTTCAACTGCGAGTGGATTGACTCTGCACATCTATTTGGTTTGGCTTCAAGCAAAGTAAATCTGGTCACCTGGTGGTTTTCTATAAGGATAGCCGTATTGTATTTATGCCAGTCGGCTTTACTCCTCTCCTGAAAGCGCGACTTTACGGCTGCTCCTCTACTCCCCCCGAATTCCCCGCTTGACGTCTTATGCTCCTCCCCCTTCAATTGCATATGATCAATATCTTCCTACTTGCGCAAGAAAGCCCGCAATACCCTCTATCTCAAAGACAGCGGCTCTGCCTCAAGGCAGAGCTCTGAACCCCATACAAGAGTGAGAAATAGAATGCCAGTTGCTTCCGTACCATGATATCCATGTCTCAAGTCGTGTTACGTATAGCGTGGGCCCGCAGCCCTCGAAATTTCGTGCTTGTGTCTCGGCCGTACTCCTGTCCATGCACCCCTTTTCAACGAGAACTGCTATGATCCATTCCCGGTATTCACTATTGCTCCACCACCATTGAAGGATATCCGTTGCGTTGGTTCTTATCGCCTCGGACGTATATTCGTATGCTGGTCGCGGAGCTGTTTTCTCACTGCCCTTGCCTGGTTTGAAAGAGGAGTTACCCATGTTGCGTGGGTGGACGGATCGTTGCATTGTGGGAATTTTGGGTTCTTAAAGATATTCAAGTTTACAATTCGCGGTGGAATATTTGTTGCCTGCTAGATAAGGTAGTTCTGAACCAAAATCGTAGCTTCTGCTTGACATTTCCACTAAACGTCGCTCTCTCTTCCTTCCTCCCGCACTAAAATTTTCCTAATTGGTTTTAGCACAGATGCCGATGTTCTCAAATACTTTGACTAGGTAGCAATCCACAGTTCGTGAAGATAGCTGGTTCTATAACATTGTATATAGCAACAAATTGGAAGACAAGGTCTTCTGCTGTCTGGCGATCTTCACAGTTCAGTGATTACCTTTGCTATCTAAGTTTAGCCTTGACTTCTTTCAAAACTATCATTACGTTCTGGACTGCTCTGATAGCCAGTGCTAGCTACCGGATTAATTTAGCAACATATGGTTAGAGATGTTATAAAGCATTTATTTCCTTTTCGGCAGCCTAGTAGGAGGAATATAGAAAGCTGTCCATAATCTGCCATCGACCATGCTTCGTATTAGTGACAGCTTGTCACCGACAATGACAACCTTTAATAAACAACAGCGGCAAAAGATGCGAAGGAATCTCCGATTTCTCTAGAAGCAAGTACCGTAGAATTTTTATCTGAAGAGTTTATTAGTCGCGTTAAACAATGATTAATGATTTATTTGATCTAGTTTTGTGCAAACCTAGCTTTGCATAGTCTCATCGCTCATTTCTCATTGGGTAGAGTAGCGTTCTTCGGTGCAAGCAAAATGCCGAAGGATCTTTCACGCTTTACTCTATCCTTGTTCTTTTTGAGTTGAGTTTTGAAAGTCGAACGACAAATGCAGTCACACACTAAGCCGTTACAATCTATGCCGTTTTTGAAAATCCCCAGATTTCGCTTGATTTCTCCTGATTCGATATGTAGGATGATCCCACGCAGAACCATTGGTTCACAGGTATTATATGGAACGGAGTAGGTACATAAACGGAAAAAGCGTCCGGGTACCCCTGAATATAGGAAACGGGAATGGGTAAGGCCACCCCCACGTCAAACTTTAAACACTGGCTCCTTCATACTTAAAGACAACGTGGGGAGGGTTTCGCATATCAATTTCATGCAGCCATACGGACTGTACTGGTAAATGTATTTTTAGGCGGATATAATAATATTGGCCATCCCGAGTAATCCATACAGGTCACGTCGTAACGCCACAGCGCTACAACGTAGAAACGCGTGACACGGCCCGCGACGCCAACGCCAGAAATAGCAAAACTCTTCCCGTGTCGTTGTCGCATTGGGCACGTACAGCAACAGCATCGATAAGAGTTTAAAAACAAAAACAACATGGCTCCTCAAGATCCATCGACGTTGACCAACGTTGACCATGGCATCCGTGACCATGGCTAACGGAACCCCTTTTGATCGCAACGAAGCGCGCGAGCTGGTGGGAAACATCGCCCGAGGTCATGGTTATATTCCACCAGAAACACTTGCAACGATCGAACCAAGCGTACGGCGCCTGGTCGTGGAAGCACTACGCAACAAAGATGACAGGATCGCCTCCGCTGTTCTAACGTAGGGCACCCTTCAAATCCTTAGACTTTTGTGTTCTGACTACCACTTCAGCCTCGCTCGTAATTTGTACACGAGCAATGCTCGTTTTATCTACGAGCTGCTCCAGAATGCGGATGACAATCACTATTCCCAAGCTCGAGCTGCGGGTGACGAGCCTTATGTTTCATTCAATGTTCATCATGACAAGCTGGTTATGGAGTGCAACGAAGACGGCTTCACCGAGGAGAATATCAAGGCTCTGTGTGACATTGGAAAGAGTTCTAAGAGCGGCGCGCAAGGGTATATCGGCGAGAAAGGTATTGGGTTCAAATCAACCTTCATGGCGGCTTCGAAAGTTCAGATCCAGTCTGGGCCATTCTCATTTTACTTCCAGCACCGTCAAGGCGATTCTGGAATGGGCATGATCACCCCTTTTTGGTTTGAGCCTGAAGAAGATTTACCCAGCTCTATGACCAGAATTACTCTCTATTTTTACGACAATGAGGAAGTGGAAACCCAAAGGCGTGAACGGAACAATATCACCCGACAGCTTTGGGGTTTACAGGGAACGATTTTATTGTTTTTGAAGAACCTTCGAAACATCAACATCACCGAGTTCAACCAGGATGGTAATTTGACACGGTCGAGAAAAATAACCATGGTGAAAGATACCCCCAGCGGGTGGGTTCAGCTAAATAGTGCCGAGTATGTGGACACTATCACTATAGTAAACAGTCAAAAGTTCCATGTCACATCGCACCTAGCAGAAGGGTTGGCAAAGAATGAGAATCGGACCTATACTAAGGCGGAGGAAGACACCAAAGCATATTCAACGGCTGAGGTAGTCCTTGCATTCCCGTTAGATCATGAGAACAATCCCATAATCGAAGCACAAGAACTGTTTGCGTTTATGCCTGTCCGGAAAATTGGCTTCAACGTAAGTTATCCTGCACCATCATTAAGGAGACATTTGCTTACTTTAGAGCCAGTTTTTGATCCAGGCAGATTTTGTCACACAGGCAAACCGACAGGATATTGTCACTACGTCGGAGAGAAACATCGGACTACGAAAATCAATTGGGGATGCCTTTGTGAAAAGCGTACTGCAGCTTTGCACACATCCTAGCCTCCAATACAAGTGGATCCATTATCTCCCACGGAAAAGGTCACTCCCACTAGACTCTTTTTGGAAAGACCTGGTCCCTTACCTCAGTGCCACGCTTTGCAAAGAACCTATCCTCCACCCTCGAAGTGGTGTACCCGGTAAGCTCTGCAAAATCACTGAACTTAGACGATTCAAAGGGAGAGAAATCGACCAGGATGGGAACCCTCTTTTCCCGGATTTGCCTGTAGAAATCTATATATCTGCTGCATATGAACTCAAGGACCTTGATACTCTTGCCGAGTATGGATTGCAATATCTTGAAATGGAGGATGTTCTGCCAAGAATAGAATCCTTTGTCAGACAACCTGCCTGGAAGAGCAAGCTCTACCAGGCCCGCGACGAAAGGTGGCATTCACGAGTAGCATGCTTAATATTAGATGCATGGAAAGCTAAGTCAGGCCAGTGGGTCAACACACTCAGACGGATGCCACTCTTGCCGCTAAATTCGGGTGTTTTGCAGTCCTCTACTGTCGAAGATGTGAAAGTTTTCTTGCCAGATATTGGTGGAATCTCAATTCCACGAGATATCGACATTCCTATGATTCTACCAGCTGCGGCAGCCAATGCGGATTGTCGGAAGCTGTATATGACCCTTGGAGTTACAGCAGCAGAACACAATAAAGTCCACACATTGA